TTCTTATAATTTAATTCTTATAATTTAATTCTTATAATTTAATTCTTATAATTTAATTCTTATAATTTAATTCTTATGATTTAATTCTTATGATTTAATTCTTATTATTTAATTCTTATGATTTAATTCTTATGATTTAATTCTTATAATTTAAATTCTATAATTTAGTATTCAATAATCTTGTGGTTATTTGCTTGAAGTATACAACTGGGGTCTTCGATCATCATTTAGCTAGACAAAATCAGAATTCAACTAACGAGTTGGTTTTTATTTTATATAATTCTATTTATGCGCTTTTTTTAAAAAATTTGTATTAAAAAATTTTATAATAGGAAACTTCCGTGTACGCACCGAAAATGGAAAACATTGGAGCCCCTTGTAAAGTCCTTCTTGAGTAGTGTTTTGTATATGCTCAAACAAGTAACTGAAAATGATATGATTTACTTTATTGTGAGAGAGTCAGAGAAGGCTGTCCCTTATTACTCATGTTTTCCTAAATTATCTAAACATTACCTAAAAGTATGCTTTTTTTTCGTATTTTCAAATTTATTCATGTATACTTACATAATATCCTTATTTTCAAAGCAACTACTTGATATTTGGGGAACAGCGGAAGATAAAGCTCGAATTGCTGCTTTTCTTAATATTCGCAAACTTGCATCTATTGCGCCACCACCTTTTATTGATCTTTGCCTAAAGGTATGCCTTTGTGAATTTTTAATTATTCATTTATTCATGATCATCCGTCCACGTCCACATTAAAATTAATTTTCAATTTCAGGGTATTTATACTACTTTTGTCCGATATTGCAAAGAAACTACCATCTTTACGATACCATCCATCAATCTTATGAGTAATTGTGCAGTTGATATATATGGAATTAATCTTAAAAGTTCATATCAATCTGCATTTAATTATATTCGACAATTGGCTATTCATCTAAGGAATTCTAGTAATAACAAGAGTGAGGTGAGAATTCTCCCATTTTAAAAATCGTATTATATTGACAAGTTTATAATGACTTGTATTAATCATTACTATTTTCGTATAGGAAACCTTTAATGTTGTGTACAATTGGCAATATATACATTGTATTGAATATTGGTCAAAAGTACTGGCTAATTATTGCGATCAACCACAAAGTCCTACCAATAATAAAGGTTCATTACAGGAGTTAATTTATCCGTTAGTGCAAGTATGCACTGGTGTAATAAGGTATTATCCCTTTTTTTTTAAATTTTAATATTACAATACTAATTTTTTTAATAATCCATATTTTTATTAGATTGAATATTACAGCACTATACTTTCCACTTCATTTTCATTGTATTCGTAGTATGATTCATCTTATCAGAAAAACGGGAACTTTTATCCCTCTTGCGCCATATCTTTTTGACATTTTACATTCAGCAGAAATTCATAGAAAACCAAAACTTGCAACCTTAAAACCTTTAGATTTCTCATCAAATTTAAAAACACCAAAAGCTTATTTACATACAAAAGTTTATCAGGTATGGCTATTATTAATCCATAATTTATTAATTTAAATTCCATTTTAATCGGCTTCCGTTTAGGATGGTATATGCGAAGAACTTGTCGAACTATTGTTCGAGTATTACTCATGTTACAGTTTATCAATAGCATTTCCAGAATTGGCAATACCCGCCATTATTCAAGTTTGTAAATCCTTTTTTTTATTCTTTATATCAAACGTAAAATTTTCAATTCATAAAATTATATTTCTTGTTATAGATTAAACGACATATTAAGAATTCAAAAAATGCTAAATTCAACAGGCAACTTCAACAGTTTGTTGAAAAAGTAGGCCTTTTAATCACGATATTCTTATGTTATTAGTGAACATTATGACATAATATCTAATCTTATTATACGAACCGATTAATTATAGATGGAACAAAATACTAAATTCATAGAGCAAGAGCGTTCACGAATTGATTTCAGTCCTAATAATCGAGCAGAAGTTGTAAGTTTTTTTTTTTTTTTATACTTTATAAATATTTCTAGTTCTTATAGCTAATTCAAATATTTTTTAATATTCAAAGAAAGCATTTTTGAGAAATATGGATTCTGACTCAACACCACTGGGTGAATATGTAAAAGCAACCAGGAAACTTAAAGAACAACGCCAAAAACTGATGGCCACAGTAAATATAAATTTTTTATGTTGTATATACTTTATAAATTTAATATACTAATTAACCTTATACATATACCAAAATCAATAATTTTATGTTACTAGGACTCACCGAATGAATGAAATTTAAATTGGAAAACTTTTTGCAAAGTCAATGCAGTAAAACATTATTTTTTTTAAAAAAAATATTTTAAGCAATAGCTATAAATTATATAATTATTTTCTTAAAAGCATATGATAAAAAAAAAAAAAAAATTGCATATTATGTTTTAGAATTACTGGTTAAATTTTATATAACAAACAATTTTTTTAAAAAAATTGATATTTTAAAAATTTTATTTTATAAAATTTATTTTTTTAGTTTTAGCCAAAAAAATATATATATATTTATTTTTAAATTTTTAAAATTTAATTTAAATTTATTATGTAGTTTTTTTTATAATTTTTTTTTTTTTTTTTAATATTAAAGGTGACCACTTAGGCCATTGGCATGAGCTTTATTTCGGATAGTTACGAT